ATTTTTTATTTTATTTCATATTATATAAATGTATCTAAATTGAATTATTTATGTATTGTGTAGTTTTTATAATACAAGTTTCTTTAAAAAAATTTAATTGGTTTTGCACTTATCGTAAAATAATAAAACTTACTAATGGTAAAGGCGCGAGTGTGAAGAATGTAGTGGAAATTATGCTTGTCTTCTGTTTTTAATTTGTTTACGATTTCTTATTGGGAAACTTTTAGGTTAATTTTAATATATTTTTTTTATTTTTTTTTTTTAGTTTTCATGTGCTAGGAAGTTATTTATGTAGTTTCTCTATTTGGGCGCATAACTATACATAGCGATCTTAACAGAAAAAGGAGAACTTGTTTTGAGAATTTCGTTCATTTGAACTGAAGATTTCATGCAAGGCCGAAAACATAGTGAAACAGAGAACACTCTGTGTGCTCAATAGGGCAGAAAACGACACGCTTTTTTCCAAAATTTATTTGGCTATCTCGCTTTGCTTATTTATTATTTTATTATTAACACACCACTATGTTCCCAGCTTAAAGCAAAACGGCTAGATAATTAGAAATCAGTTAGGCATTAAAGTTACCGATTTTTCAAAGCCGTAGAGCAATCGAATTATAAGAAAGTGTCAATGTATGTGATTGAATTACTTTTGGTGGTTTCAAAGCGATATTGCTTGCTGTAATATTATTAACTGTGGCTATGTTGTTCCTAAAATTGAAGCCCTGCAAGGAAATTCTATTTGAAAGTTTTAAGAAAAAAATAATTTTAACGCTTTGCACTAACTAAAGATTTGCAAAATAAAAAAAAATATTGAAAAATATTAAAAAACATTTGCAAAATAAAAAAAATTTTGAAAAAACACGAAAAAATTATTAAATAAAAAGAACTATAAAATTTCCTTAAATAAGCTGATATGTCTTCCAAAATATTATTTCATTATTCTTTTTGTAATTACTGATGTTTAAATACACCAGCTTTTCCCTACAGGGCATGTATGCTTTTGTTGTATAGTATATATAAGTGTAACAGTTATTTAGGTGTATACATTTGTAAATATATATAATAATATTTAGTTTTCTTTAATATAGACTACCACATAACAGTTCATTTACATACATATATATTTGATTTATTTTTATTTTTTGGGTAAATAGTAGCTCTCTGCCTAAGATGGATATATTTATGTATAATATATTGTATGAGAGTAAATAGGTAGGCATAAATATTTGCAAAGTTTAATTATTATTTTTGCTTTTTTTTTCAACCAAAAAA